GTATTATGGGTATTATGAATATTATGGGGTATTATAAGGGTATTATGGCGACGTGTACTGAGTATTATGCGAGTCGGAGACCCCTCGGTCCCGACACCAGCGGAAGGATGTCTCAACCATGGCTCAATAATGGCTATAGTTTGAAAGAACCGTCTGAGCCTCAGTTGCCAGTGATGTCCCTAGGATGGCTACAGCACGAATCAAAGTTATGGATCAGGAAAGGCTACTTTTCGTGATAAAGGATCCCTCTGGGATCCTCCGTGGATCCACGATAGGGACGACGAAAACGTCTCAAGCAAGGCTCCGCATTGGATCAAAATTAACGCAACGCTGACGAGAACTGGACTCATTGGAGGTTGACTGCTGACTTCACACTGGCTCAATGGTGTCTGAAGGGTGCATGCGTATGATCCGTCCATGAGACAAAACGTCTTGTACGGGCCGCCATAACTTTTTAAATACAATAAATAACCGCCGCACAACCGCTACTAGGGCTTTCTATGAATTATATGCTTTATCTAGTCCTAAATCTTATTTAGTCTAAGCACAAAAAATTAAATTCTACTGTATATTACATATTACACTCGTCAAAACATTGAGCGGTCCACTTTTTAACGCCTGGATTAAATTATCTCCCCTAGCACCTAGGAAGTCTAGATTTGACATAGACATGCATCCATGTGTGTACTTTAACATCCTCGAGAGCGAATGCCGTGCGACACCCCTCACGCCGTACGCATCCCCTAATGATTAAGGGGGTGGAAAAGTCGAAAAAATAGTAAAAAAGGGTAGAAGGGGGTGCCGGAAGTGGCTAAAATTTTGTGTATGGGTGTCCTAGGAACCAAGTTAAAGGTTTTTGGCCCGTTCCACCCTCAGAAAAACCACCCCCACCCCCAGTTACCCCCACTCGCAACGCACGGCTCCTAACGGCCCCGTGCGGGTAGGCAACCCGCCCGCACGCATGCATGCGGTACAGTAGAACTACGAAAGTGCGCGGCGTGAATCAGCCACCTGGTACAATCTGCGCGTGTTCTTTTTTTTATTCTTAAGCAAAGCAGAAGGGTGGGGTGTAGTCACGGTGTTGCCCCGTTACAGTCTTTTGTCATGACCAAGGAGCAAATTTCTAGGGCCGCAGGCTCCCCACCGGACGCGTTAGTTTACTCAAATATGCAAAGTGATTTACCAGTCACATTATTTATTTGATTATGTACTTCGGTAAATCGCGAGACTGAAATGGTCGGGCCGAAGGCCCGTCCATCACCGCCGGCAGGCCAAGCAGGCCCGGCCCCTGCCGAACGGAGTTGCCGGCTCAGCGAAGTGGAGCTGGCAACTCCGTTTGGCGGAAGGGCGGGCCTGCTTGTTTAGCCCGCCCTTCTGCTTTGAAAAAGCAATCCAGCGGGCTTATGCAAACGACCTCGTGTCTGTTTGTCTGTTCAACTAGAAGGAGATGTGCTAGAGACCTGAAAGTTTCATGGTATCTTAAGTTAACTCCTAGAGAACGAAGCGCCTACGTTTTGCTCTATCTCTCATCGTTTGGGCGCTAAAGTTGTTTATTCGACGAAAATACGGTGAAAATGACCACGTTGCACATGAAGACGTACAAGGATACAAGGAATAATCGTTCCTTTAGGACAACAAAGGAGTTACAAACTGTTCGTCATTTTAGGAATGTATTCGTTTCTTGAAGAGTTCGTGTAGAAATATTATCAGGACATTTTTAGTGAAATTACGAAATAATTTCCAACAGTGCACCCTTCACACTGTAAGAAATCCTGTGCTAAATCATTGCTAAGACCACAGAACTTGAACCACACCTAAAACACAGTGCGGACTGTGGTGGGCTACACCACAGGGTTTTTCTGTTGACCGGCTCAGTCTGTGACTCGTCTACCGTTCGAGGCGTCTCTGTTCGTTCTTAGCTCTCGCTGATGACCCGCCGCGCTCCAGCAACCACATGCTGGAGAATTACGCCAACGTGTATCTTCGTGCGCCCGCGCGGAGATTGGAGATTTTCGAGGGGAGGTTAAGAGTTTGGTCCTCCGAAGGGCCAGTAGTGTCCAAAGGCCTTGCGGCTAACGAGCCTTCGGGCTCAAGGTCCTCCATGGCCCTTAGAGCAGAAGACCTTCTCCAGCGAAACATATGAGCTTGACTTGAACTTGAACTATTTGAACCGTGCCAGCGCCACTACTGCCTTTTATTACTAATTATTCATCACACTATTTTACTGTGATTGTGAAAGCACAGAACTTTCGTGTGGTAGTTCTGTGGTTTATCACAGGATTGAGCACTGACATACTGTGGTAGCTCCGTGCTTCACACAGGATTGAGCACAGACAGGCTGTGTAATTAATTGACGCACTTTTTTCTGTGAAAATCCTGTGCTTTTTTCTGACAGTGCAGACAACCCCTCCAAAAAGTAGGTTAGGTTACGCACCCATAAAACAAGTTCGAACACGTCCTTGCTTCAAATTAGGTTTAATTTATAAACCCATAAGACTGTAAAATGCTTGCAAACTATATAGAACTAGTTACAATGCTTGAAAATTGTTTGCAAGCTGCAAAGAAAATAGTTTGCAATACGAACCTATTATTTGCAAGCATTTTGCAGTGCACTGTAAAAAGGTTACAAACTTAACACTTTGCAACGTTACGAACAATTTTCGTTCTTTGTATTCCAAAGAAATTGTTCGTATTGCAAAGCGATTGTTTCTAAGGCGAGACAGGGTCTTACGAGCAATTGGTTTGCATTACGAACTATTTGTTCGTAAGCTTACGAACAGTTAGTTCGTAATGCAACGCTTCAAAATCCTTCGTAAGCTGAGAACGTTTTGGTTTGCATTACGAACCTATTATTCGTATAGGCAATTTACGGTGTGAATACGTACCTGATACAGTGCGACGGTTTGAGCAAGCCGAAGGCCCGCTACATTACTTGATGATGTTCTTCAGTATATCACGTGACTGAAATGGTCGGGCCGCAGGCCCGACCATCGCCACTGGCAAGCCAAGCAGACCCGACTCATGCCGAATGGAGTTGCCGGTGCAGCGAAGCGAAGCAGGCAACTCCGTCTGGCAAAAGGGCGGGCCTGCTTGTTTTTCCATTTTGATTGTAGCTAGATGATAATAGGATAGAGGGATTGTGTGACGAAACTTATTGTGTTACAGTTGAATGTGTGTTTGTGTTTCCAATAATTGAGGCTGTTTTTCTTTACAGGGCCCCACGATCAGGAGCAGCAGGACGACCGAAAGTTACAAAAGGTATGCCTGCCTCCTCACCTCACCGGTAACTAAACGAGTCCAAGAATCGTGACCTGGATTTTCCAGGAGAGTTGGAACCCCACTGGATGCCAATGATGAGTCGATTACTGTAAAAAGCTTGCGTAGAAATATTCTCTGCGTTGCAAAGAATTTTCAAGCGTCAAGCGTTGTAAAATGCTTTGCATGAACTAAATCAGGGTTGTTACAGGTTCCGGATTTTCAATTTTACTGACTTTTCCCTGACCGAAATTGCGATTTTTTCTGACTTTTTAGGCAAGAAAGTAGGCCGTATTCCGCACAACGATAGAAAAAAATCACTGAAAACAAGAGTATGCATAAAAGCAGCGACTGGCTGCCCCGGCAGGGCCCGGCAAGTGCCGCTGCCGCAGCTCGAGCGTCAATTTTGCGCATTTTCACTAATTCATTTGCAAGGAGGCAGTCAACCGGAGAAATTTTACTGACTGCCCTCTCAATTTTCCTGACTTTCCCTGACCCATTTTCTAATTCCTGACTTTCCCTGACTTTCACGGTCTGTAACAACCCTGTAAATCCTTCGCATTGCGAAGTAAATCATTCGCATTACGAACTTATTCTTCAAACATTACGAAGAATTAGTTCGCAATGGGAAGGATTTAGTTTTCAATGCAAAGCATTTTACAACGCTTGAAAATTCTTTGAAATGCAAAGAATAGTTCTTCGCAAAATTTTTTACAGTAATCGACAAAGTCTTCGCACCTTACAAAGAAACTCGTTCGTAACGCTGCGAAGAATTAGATCGTAACCTTGTGAAAGAGTACGGGAAATAAGTTAACAGCAAAATATGATTGAGACTTGTTTTACTTGCACCTTCTCCTTCGCAACTCCTTTACAACCACATTAACCAGCAAGAAAACTGATTACTTACGTTGAGATATTTTGATTTCAAGTAGACGGTCATCGAAAAATAAAAATAAAAAAGTACGTACTGGTACAATGAAACAAAAGCTTTGTTTTAGAACAAACAAAATACACTACACTAAGAAAATTACTTATTTCTGCTGCGCCGAATACTCGGCACACGTGTCCTTCGAGGCCGATACTGTCCCCTTCATGACTTCGAGGAAGGCTTGCGCTGCTAACCTGTTTTTGGTCAGTCCTTGGGCGAACAGCGGATTGGCTAAAGCTTGCTTCCCCATCGACATGTAACGCATACCCAGCTTTACGTAGATGTGAGCGTGGTCTTTCGTCAACTCAAGGGTACGCAGGTACATCTCTTCTTCTAAAGCCCATGGAACTTGAATCGAGGGATAAATGTTCAGGGCCTAGAACAGAAATTGAGGATAACGAATAGAAAGAAGACTTCTTCTTTCTAAACAAAAGAAGGCAACGGAAGTTTTTTTTGTTTTTTTAACCCTAGATGTCCTAGTATATTTTACTGCAAATGTTCTATTTCTCTGAAACCTACGCTTCGTTTTGGAATTTGTGCGCAAAAATGTATGATTTCGTACACTGACAACCGAAGTGTGCAACTGCTGAACACTTGAAGGTGAGAAACAGCAAGTCGAGATCTTGTAAGTGTGCTACTCCTCTGTTTAAACACGAGCAGGGCTGCCACAAGAATCGAGAAGTGAAATTCACTGACATTGCCCTGACTTTTCCCTCACAACTCCGTGAATTTCACTGACGAGATAAGCAGTCAAAATGCAATACGAAAGGGGGGTCTTTTGCGAACAACTCGCTGAGTACCCAAAATAACGCTGCCGTCCGTATTTCCCTGACACAGCGTTCAATTCCCTGCACGGTAAAAACGAAGTCCTATTTTTGGAGCGAAAAGGGAAAACTTTGAGGGAGTCAGTAACTTTGAGGGATCTTTCTTGAAAAATGAGAACGACCCTCAAAGTAAGTCACAAATTTTGAGCAAGTCCCTCAAAGTTAATGTGGCTGCTGCTGCGCCCCCCTCGCTACTTTCGAGCTTCGGATCAAATTGTCAAGTGGTCAAATTTTATGTGTTTCTCTTAGTTTTAGAGCTGCGGAACTCGTCCGGCATAGTTTGATGTGTGTACGATGAGAAAAAACGAAACTGACTTTTTGAATGGTTTACGTGTGCAAGTACGTCCGAACGCACGTAAACCAGCAGAAGCCGCGCTAACTTTAAGAGATTTCCTCAAAATTTGCGAAAATTTGTGACTTACTTTGAGGGTCGTTCTTATTTTTCAAGAAAGATCCCTCAAAGTTACTGACTCCCTCAAAGTTTTCCCTTTTCCCTCAAAAAATGGGACTTCGTTTTTACCGTGTGACATATCCATGACTTCCCTGAAACATTTTGTTTTCCGTTACATTTCCCTGACTTGTTGCAACTCTGGCGTCTGGCGAGTT